TGCAACATGTGGCCCTCGCATTGGCACCGCGTGCAGCCACCTTAACCATTCCCAACATTCGCAATGACGGGCGTTGAGCTGTTTTCATGTGGATAACTGCCATAACAGTAGGCGCATTTGTGCTACGTGTTCCCAGCAGCCGCGAGGATGATTGGCGGGCCGTTTTCACACATTGGCTGTCGCCTTAGCGCCGCTCGCATTCGCCTTAAACGGTCCTAGCATCCACACTGATTCTTCACATTCTACGATCCGACGTGTGCACTTACGCAACACACATACGGATGCAGGGCATTGTTTTACATACCAGCGTGGGGTTTGGACGCGGGACTTTCGCGATCGTTACGGCCCGACGCGGACATATGTGCAACATTTGCACGAGTGGAGGGCGACCCTTCTCAAATTCGATCTTTCGCTTTACATTGCGTTGCACGATCTTTTTGGGTCCTATCGCGTTTCTCAGGGAGGTTCCCTTTCAACACTGGAGTCTCGCCTAAATGGCAGGCTCGTGTGGAGGTTGTCTCTGAATAGGGTGCTTTCCGTAGTGACAACTGTTGCCTGCAGGGATTTATGCGGAAGAGAGTTTGGGACAGTGGGGTTGTATTACAGCATTGCCGATGCATCTTGGCTTTACTCTGGTCGTCCTCCTCGTTCTCGCCCACTTGCTCCCCAACCTCCCCCTTTTCCGTCCGTCAACCTTGTAAGTGGCCCGTCTTCCAACCAGTGGGCGTGTCGGTAGGGCAGGCCAGGCGTTTCGCTGGAGATCCCCTCTCAACTTTTGGTCCACAGCTGGAATCCAATCGGGGCGTTGACCTAAGGAACCCTACATAAGGAACGAGGCCCCTTTTTTTTGCCATAAGTTAAACTTCGATTTCCGATCGAAAACATAAGGAACACCTGAGGCAAGCTGTGAAACACTTAAGGAACACGGAGCCCCTCCCCAACGAAAAGGGTTCCTTCTTCAGGGCCCCGACTGTATTTCAACGCTTACGCGCGGGTCGCTACAGACATGCTGTTCTCCCCGTGCCGCGCACGCTCGCTCCTGGTACGTATCTCCAGCAGGTGCACAGCTGGAGGGGACATCGTTTTACGAAGCACCGCGCATATTCGTGCAACAAGTTTCCAACCTGCTTGAAGAATTCGATGTCGAGCGTCACAACGGTGCAACGCTTGCACGGATGGAGGGGGTATCCTTGTCAAGATCGGGCCTTCGCTTGAGACTCTCCCACTTTCTGTGACAGCAAGTTTCAGACTCGTCAGCACTCTACGCGGGTGGAGAGTGGTTCTGTTTGAGAGCGGGACTGTCGCATGACGCTACCTTGATTCCTATGCTCATCGGAGGCCTGGGGTTTGACACCAACACCAACATCGGCGGTGTGCTTTCACCGAGGGATGGCGATCCCGATCTCGGTGACGGTGGTAATTCTCGGGCTTCCTAGGTGGCCGACAGGTTACCACCAGCACCGAATATCTGGGATCATCCTCCCCCCGGTGGAGGCAGCCCCCCCCGTGTTGGTGTTGGTGCCCACTTCCATTCCCAGGCCTCTCTTTCTAGCGGCAAAGGGTGGAGGACGGACGCTTCCTCTCCACGACGGGGCCACGGGGCCCGAACAGCAGCCCCCATGGGGCTCTCGTCTCCCGGGGGTGCGCCCTCCGTGACGACAGGGGGGGGGACTCGTGGGGACTCGGAGGTCGGGGGCCTCTGACAGGAGGCCGTGTTGCAGGACCACTGGTGCATCCTGGGTTTGCTCTCGTCCTCCCTCGCCTCGTCCTCCCTCTCCTTCCTGTCCTCCCGCTCCCTCCTCGCTCTTCCTCCGCCCCTCGTCCTCTCCCTCCTCCTCTTTCACCTTCCTCTCGCCTTTTTCCCCCGCCCCCCCTCCCTTTCCTTGCCCGTCCCCTCGTTCCCTCCTCTTCTTCTCACCCGCTTCAGCCCACACTGACGCCTCGCCTCGCCAGAGAAGAGGGCCGATCAAGTCAGCGACGGTCCGACCAGCTGCGGCCAGGCTGAGTACCGCGTGGATGCGAGACGCTGTGATTTGCGACGGTCCGACTGGTCGAGGTCGGATGCAGTGCCACGGGGAAGGGAAGAGGACACATCGGGGTGTTTTGGCGTTTTTGGTTGGCGTTTTTGGTCCAGCTAGGGTCCTTCGGGTACCTCCATGGACCTCGACTGGCCGAGGTTAGATTCAAGACCGCGGCGACGAGAGACGCGGTGATGGAGAACGAGCCCATGGTGGCGCAGACACAGCAGCAGCAGGGGGCCGTCGCTCAGCACGGTTGCCACTGCCAGTGCCACAACTGCGGCTCCAGTGGGTCTGAACCCAGGGTCCTGCATTCCTGCATCGGGAATTGATGGGGAATGCATCGGAGGGGAGGACGGCTGGGAGAACGGTAGGAGGCACGGTGGGAGAGGGAGAGGGTGAAGGAGAGGGAGGAGGGGAGGACAAGAACGGGAGAAGGGAAAGGGAGTGGTAATGGGATGGGCGATGGGGAGAGGCGAGGGGGAGGGTATTTACCATGCGGACGTGGGAGAAAGCTGGTGCTCGATGTCTTTGGAATGGGAAGCTCGTTCGTGGTATTTCAGGGGCCTCGGGGGGAATGCATAGGGCCTCGGGAGCAGGAGGAGGAGGCGGAGGAGGAGGAGGAGGAGGAGGAGGAGGAGGAGGAGGACTATGATGAGGAGGATGATCGAACATTTCAACTTCAGCTCCCGGGTGGGGCCGTTGGTCTTGCGCTCAACTTTAACAACTGTTGTCTGCTCTTATGTGAGAGGATTCAACGGGAAAAGGTTCAGCAACTTATCGTTCATGGGCAGGGGGGATGGGGTTGTTCAATATTTGCTATGCTATGAAATACATGGGGTTCTTTATTGGCCCAGAGGCTGCTGGCAAGGCGTGGACTGCGCCCCTAGAGAAGTTTGTCACTCGCTGCTCGCAACTTCGCCAACCCTCGCCTGGATATGCAACCACTCTTGCCACTTTCGAGATCATGTGTCTCAGTTTGCTGCAATTTGTCATGCAGGTTGAGCCCCTTTCGCCGAGGCTTACTAAAACCTACAAACATGTGCTCCAGCGCTTGACTGTGGCCCATGCCATGTGTTCTCTTACAACATGCGCGTTTCGATGACCGAGCTCGGCTTCCCGATCGAACCTCCCAACATTATTGTTTTCCCCGCTGTCGGCTGCCCGCTTTGTGATGGTATGTCTTGGGGTTATAGAATGTTGGGCCGAGATCGAACGCGTTCTCGGTAGCAATGCAGCGTGCTGCGCTCGCGTGGTTGATCTGCAAGGTTTGTGCCAGCGGTCGTTTTTGCCTGATGTGTTTCAGACTCTGCAGTTGACGCAAGGGGTCGTTGACTTTGCGACGATTAAGCCTGACGTGTTCCAACGTAAGCTGTGCTCGGGTCCTCGTGCTCTGCCTCTTCTTGGGCCCTCTGTCTTTGAAGGTCCCCTCTTCCAGTTGCGCACTTGGCTGCCTGAGTTCCCTGGGGGTGATCTCTCGTCTCGTTCCTCAAAATCGCCGCACCTCGTCGTCCGCGTCTCCGCATCTCGCTATTTATGCGTGTTCTTCGGATGTGTAATCGCTGGGTTCGTGCTAGTGCTCGATTTCATCCCGATCCTCGTGGTTGTATCTTTGGGTGTACTAGCATTGAGTGTTGGTTTGGCACGTCAGGGGACTATGGCGACCCTCGCCGCTGCAAGTTCAACCGTCTTTCTCTCGAGATGTGTGTCAGATGGATGGGCCCGCAGTTCCCACTCGCTCCAGTGATGATCTCGTGGATTTCAACCGTCCCCCTTCCGCCCTCTTCCTCTTGACGTTTCGTTGCTGTGTGCCCTCGTGTGTGACGCCCTCCTGCGCGCCCACCACTTCACAGGGCTTCGCATCTCTCGCCTGATGTGGGGCATATCCTCGAAGCGCGGCTCCGAGTGCTCCCTCGGCGCTACCCTGCGGTCGCCTCGGCGCGGGAGCCTGTCGGGCGCGGGCCCGGCCGGCGCGTGCCCGCGTGAGCGGCTGGAGCGGTTCGCGATGTTGTCCTGCTTGCTTCGTCCGAGCTTGTTCTCCGCTGTTCGGCACTCGACCTCGCGGGCGGTCGCCGCGGGAGCGTGGTCACCCGTGATCGCCGCCCGAGGCTCCGTGCAGGGACCTCCTGAGTGGCCCAGGAAACATCGGGAAGCCTCCTGCAGGGGAACAAAACAGTTTCTAGACCCCGCTCCTTCAACCTGAAATTCCACTGATGGCGCGCCGCTATGGCGATGAGGAGGGGCAGCGAGAGTAGAGTACTAGTAACCGTGTGGTCTCCAGGACATTCAACCTCGGCAGTGACAAGAGCACTGCACGCACGCCCGTGCCACGCAGTGCAGTCCCGGCCAAGGCGCATGCGCGCGGCTCCGTCGTCATCAGACGGCGTCTCGTCGCGCGATATCCCGTCGCCATTGGAAACGACAGTCGGTGTTTCTACATGGCGCCCAAGTTCGACAATCCAGCTACACTCCGAATCGGCCAGCCCAGAGCATTGCAGCATCAAGCTCTGTTGCTCGGCAGCGATCTGGGTGGCCACCGTGGCGCGGGCAGGAAAGTCTGTGGTGCGACCGCCCCATTCGGCTTGTCAGGGGGCGGAGACTTGCTTTCCCACAGCGGCTGTACTGAGGCAACATCCTCCCAAGGTATACCTTCGGGAGCGCCAACATGTACGCCGTGCCGATTAGGGTGATAACGCAGGAAAGTGTTCGAGGTTATGCGGCGATGTTGCTCGCGATGCCCTGAGCTGGCTGGTGCCCCTGTCCTTGCAAGGGTTTAACAGCTCAGCCACAAGTCCCAATCCCGAGAACACCTTCATTTGAAGCAGACCATCATCGATGGATATAGGAGGAGGGGGATGAGGATGAGGAGGACGTGTGAGGCAGGACATAGGAAGACGAGCAGGAGAAGCAGGAACTAATGGGGATGAAGAGGGGGTGGAGGAGCAGGAGGCAAGCGGGAGGAGGGAGGAGGCAGGGAGGGATGGGGGCCAGGACGCACCCCTCGGGGTTTAAGTTTGCCGCGGCGAGGCAGCTAGGCCCCTGTCTCCTCCTGCCCCTGTCTCCTCCCTGTCTTCCTCTTTTCCTCTCCCTCTCTGATCCCTCCCTCATTCCTCGCCCTCCTCCTTCTCCACCCGCCTCCCCTCCTTTGTTGTCATTCTTCTCTCCCTTCTCCACCTCTTCCGCGCCCACCTGCCCTTACCTCCTCCTCCTATCAGTCGTCCTCCCTCGCCCCCCACCCCACCTGAGATATCCTGCAACCGAACGGCAAAAGGGAGCCTTTTCCCTCCTCTTCCTGCTGCTCCTCCTCCTCCTCCTCCTCTTCCTCCTTCTCCTCCTCCTCTTCCTCCTCCTCCTCCTCCTCCTCCTCCTCCTCCTCCTCCTCCTCCTCCTCCTCCTCCTCCTCCCCCCGTCCATCAATCCACGCCCCCCTCCCCCTCTCCAATCCCCGTCCTCGTGTCCCTTCTCTCCGCACGCTCCCCTTCCCCTCCCGACCCTCCCCCCTCCCCCTCGCCTTCGCCCCCGCACTCTTCCCTCGCACCCCCCCCTTGCCCTCCCCCCCGCTCTCCCGCTCCCCCTCGCCCCGCTCTCCTGCTCCTCCTCCTGCGAAGGTTCGTGCAATTGCCACCACCGCGGCTCCGTGTCCGTGAACAAGTCCGTCACGGTGGTGCCGTCCTCGGCTGGCGCAAATTCATGATCGCCCTCCGACAACCCCATTTTGGTTTTTGATTGTGGACATAACCTTTGGGGGTGAGGAAAACCAGGACGAGGAGGAGGAGGAGGAGGAGGAGGACGAGTAGGAGGAGGGAGGATGCGGAGAGAAGGGGGATGGTGAGGAGGGAGAGGGATGATGATGAGGTGGAGCAATATGTGTAGGAGTCATACGAGGATCAGTGGTGTTGATAACGATCCACCTCCTGTGGACAGCGCGTGGTGCATGACTGCTGCACCGTCGTGCTGCAGCCTCCGAGATGGAGCGAGCCTCACCACTCTATGGCCTCTGAGTGCAGGGCCTCGACACATGCCGCCCGACGAGCGCAGAGAGCGGCAGGAACAATCAGCCCCCCCCCCGCCGTCGGCAACGAGCCCCATGAAGTCGAGCAGCACCCCGCTGAAGAGACTCGCCTCCTCCTCGCGCCTTGAGGTGGAGGGTCAAGTACGATGCTGCTACTGCTGATGATGATGATGATGCTGATGAAGATGATGACTATGATGATGATGAAGCTGATGATGATGATGACGATGATGATGATGATGATGCTGATGATGATGCTGATGATGATGCTGATGAACATGATGATGATGATGATGATGTTGAGGATGATGAAGAAGAACGATGATGATGCTGATGAAGATGAATCTGATGATGATGAAGCTGACGATGATGAATATGATGATGATGCATGATGCTGATGATGCTGATGATGATGATGCTGATGCTGATGTTGATGCTGATGCTGCTACTGATGATGAAGATGAAGATGAAGATGAAGATGACGATGAATGAATGATGATGATGATGATGATGATGATGATGATGATGATGATGATGATGATGATGATGATGATGATGATGATGATGATGATGATGATGATGATGATGATGATAATGATGATGAATGATGATGATGATGATGATGATGATGATGATGATGATGATGATGATGATGATGATGATGATGATGATGATGATGATGATGATGATGATGATGATGATGATGATGATGATGATGATGATGATGATGATGTTGGTGGTGGTGGTGGTGGTGGTGGTGGTGGTGGTGATGATGATGATGATGATGATGATGATGATGATGATGATGATGGTGATGATGATGAGGAGAATGACGACGATGCTGATGATGTTGATGGGGTGAAAAGCGGAAAAGGGATGACGAGGAGGTGGGGGCAGAAATGAAAATGGGAAAAGAGGGGGATGCATGGGGTGGGGGCGGAGTTTCCGTCCCCCCCTTTTCCCCGACTTGCGGAGGTGTTCCCGTTGTGTGTTCCCCTGGGGGGGTCTGGAGGTGTTCCCCCTCGGGACATGGTCCCGGCCACGCGGCGAATGCCGGCGGAAGCCGGCGGAAGATGGCCTCATTTCGGCAGACGCGCTTCTGGACGGCACGGACGGCTCCAAGATGGTGCGCAAGATGGTCCAAGAGGGCCACGAGTCGCCGAAAGACCAGTCCAAGACGCCCAGAATGGCCCAAGAAGCCCCCAAGACGCCCTGGGAGGCTTCCCAAAGGGGTTCCAAGAGGGCTCCGAGTGGCACAATTCATTGATTTCCTATAGGTTTTTCAAAGTTTTTTGCGTTTTCGCCTTATCGGCCTCCCGACGCTCCAAGACGGCCCAAGAGGCCCCAAAGATCGCCATAAATCGGCTTGAAAGGCCCCCAAGAGAGCGCCCAGAGGGCCCAACACGCCCCCAAGACGGCCCAAGAAGCCTCCAAGGCGGCCTGAGAAGGCCAGAGGGGCCCCAGAGGGGGGGCAGGGACCGACATTGTGGACTCTCCGCCTAAAGAACGCCCCAGGAGGCCCCAAGAGGCCCCCAAGAGGCCACAAGAAGCCTTGAAGAGGTTTTCAGGAAGCCCCCAGAGACCCCCAAGAAGGCCACAGGACTGCCTAAGTTGGCCCCGAGATGGCCGCGCCCCAGGGCCCGAAGACTGCCCAACAGGGCTCCAAGATGGTCGGAGACGCCCCAACAAAGTGGCACAGCGTCAAACGAACAACACCGGAACCATCATACTGCGCCTTAAAGCGGCGCAGCGTCAAACGGAGAACATTGGAATCAGCATTATGCGCCGTTCAGGCATCCTCTTCTTTGTCTTTCTCTTCCTCGCAAGCCACGCCCACTTGTCCTTCAAGGTCGGGGTTCGTGTCACTATCAGGTTCCATTCCCCAGTCCCCCCTCTCCTTCCTGAAGGGTAGGAGGAATTTCACTGGCCAGCTCGATTCGCTGATGGGTCAATATTCTGCTACACCCGCAGAATCATTGGAAAACCCAGAGGATGAAGAGGTGCAGGATTTAGAGGAGGACGCGGGCTTGTTGCGGGACGGGAAAATGACCGCAGCCACTGCTTCTTGTTTGCGCCGCCTTCCAGCCGGCCGAAAAAGAAGCAGTGGTTGTGGTCATTTCCCTGGTGCCAAGCTCAACGAAAATGACCACAACCACTGCTTTGTTGCTGCGGGCTGGAAGGCGGCATCAAAAGAAAAGCAGTGGCTGTGGTCGTTTTCACGCCCCGTACTTGTCCACATGGAAACGCCTTGGGCATGGATCCAGAGGCAAAATTCGCCAACCGTTGCGGCTTCCTTCGATCGAGTGGCGCGCAGCCTGAATACAACGAACGGGGTGTCTATCGGGTGAACCTGCTCGTGGGTAGGACTCCTGGAGTCGTTTTTTGTCATGGTTTCGCTGAGGCGCTCGTCGCTCGAGCAGGCGAGTACTTCAGGCGCCGCCGTGCGTTTCCGTACCAGCAGGCGTCGTTCAAACAGACGGCGTTCATTTGCATACGTGTTTGTATGTATGTGGGCCATCGTCTGAGTTTCGAGGAAGTGCGCCAGTTTTGGCTAGACCCGGCCAGATCGGAGGACCCGGAGGTGGGCAGACATCTTTGCGTTTCCCACCGTCGCCCTTCCTAACGCCGCGGACGTTCGAGCACTGAATCCTGCGTTCATGTCTACATGCATGGTCTATCTGTCCTTCTCAGCGTCACTGCTGGCGGACATGGACAGCCAAGGTTGTGAATACGTGTTCCACCGTCAACTGCCCAGAGTTGTCTGACGGCTACACTGCGAGGTTCGACGCGGCAAGCCTCAAGTGCAAGAGCAAAGAGTGCGGCGAGCAGGATGCGAGTGTCTCTTCCTCCCTCCTCCAGCTTCTCCTCCTCCTCTCCCTCGCCCCTTGCCCTCTTGCCCTTTTGCCCTCGTCCCCTCCTCCCCTCCTCCCTCATCTCCTCCTCCTCTTCCTTGTCCGCCTGCTCCTCCGTCTTCCCCTCCTCCTCGTCCTTCCCTCCTTCCGTTCCTTCTCCATTTTTTTCTTCACTTCCTTCCCTCGTCCCCCTACCTCTCCCTTTCTTCCACTTCCCCCCCTGCTTGGACGCACCGAGCTGGGTTCGGGTGCGACGCAGGACCTCGATACGTGCTGCGTCCGCAGGCAGACCTGCGCCCACCTGCCGCGCTCTCAGTAGACCCTGATCCGTCGATCAGGCTGTCGTCCCTCCGCCTCCTCCTCCTACTCCTCCACATCCTCCTCCTCCTCCTCCTCAACCTTCTCCTCCTCTCCTCCTCCTCCTCCTCCTCCTCCTCCTCCTCCTCCTCCTCCTCCCCCTCCTTCTCCTTCTCCTCCTCCTCCTCCTCCTCTTCCTCCGTCGATCAGGATGTCGTCCCTCCCTCTTTTTCTCGGGGGCGGATAGACCTCCTACCCTGACACGTCGATTAAGGAATTGGCCGTTTTCGGTTCGAGAGAGGGCGTCGCGGCCGACATTTTTGCGTGTCCAGGTCCGTCGGTTTCGGTCCCAGGCCGTTTTCACAAAGGGGAGGTTTACTAAAGGGAGGTTTGTCCACCGCCGATTCTCCCTCATTCCCCGACCTTGCGGAGGGGTTCCCGTTGTGTGTTCCCCGGCACGGGCGGCCCCAAGATGGTCCGCAAGATGGTCCAAGAGAGCCACGAGTCGCCAGCAGGTCGATCCAGGCCGTCCAAGATGGCTTCCTGACGGGCCCGGAAGCCACCAAGCCGCCCCAGGAGGCCTCCAAGAGGCCCCCCCCAAAGAGCCCCAAGAGTCAAGATTCATTGATTTTCCATAGGTTTTTCAAGGTTTTTCTCGTTTTCGCCTTTTTGGCTTCCCGACGCTCCAAGACGGCCCAAGATGCCCTACAGATCGCCCCAAGACGGCCTACGAGCCGCCCCCAAGAGAGCGCACAGGCGTTCCTAGACGCCTCCAAGACGGCCCAAGAGGCCTCCAAGACGGTTTAAGAAAGCCCCAGGAACGTCCCAAGAGGGGCCCCAGAGGGGGAGCACGGACCAGCATTTTGGGTTCTCCGCCTAAAAACCCGCCAGGAGGCCCCAAGAGGCCCCCAAGAGGCCCCAAGAAGTTTCCAAGAGGTCCCCACCAAGAAGCCCCAGAGACCCCCAAGAGGGCCCCAAGATTGCTTGAGACGGCCCCGAGATGGTCGTCGGAGACGCCCCAGGGCCCGAAGGCTGCCCAACAGGGCTCCAAGATGGTCGGAGACGCCCCGACAAAGTGGCACGGCGTTAAACGGACAACACGGGAACGAGCATAACGCGCCTTAGAGCGGCGCAGCGTCAAACGGACGACACGGGAATCAGCATTATGCACCCTATAGGCATCCTCTTCTTTATTTTCCTCTTCCTCGCAAGCCACGCCCACTTGCCCTCCAAGGTCGGGGTTCGTGGCTACATCAGGTGTTTTTCTCCTCCCTCCGCCCTCGTCGTCCTCGTTCTCCTTGCGCCTCCCCTTCTTCCCCAGAGGACTGAGGTCCCCGAACGGGGGCCCCCAGGGACGCATAGGGGTGCCCATAACGAGCCCGAAACCCTCGATCTGCGATCCTCCTCCTGTGCCCTCGTCGAAAAGGCCCGACCAGGCCCGCCAGCCTCGGCTGCGCGCCGACCGATGGGGGTCGGGCAGGTCGGTCTGGCCTCTAGGGGGCCTCGGGCGCGGACTGGGCCGGCCCGATCGGGATCGGGATCGGCTCGTCGGTCGGCCTGGATCGCCTGGGCGCCTCTGAAAGGAGGAGGGAGGATGGAGGAGGATGAGGATGCTAATTCTGATTCTGGTGATGATGATGATGATGATGATGATGATGATGATGATGATGATGATGATGATGATGATGATGATGATGATGATGATGATGATGATGATGATGATGATGATGATGATGATGATGATGATGATGATGATGATGATGATGATGATCTGATGATGATGATGATGATGATGATGATGATGATGATGATGTTGATGACGATGATGATAATGATGATGATGATGATGATGATGATGATGATGATGATGATGCTGATGGATGATGATGATGATGGCTGATGATGATGATGGTGGTGGTGGTGGTGCTGTGATGCTGATGCTGATGATGATGAGATGGGTGGTGAGGTGTGGGATGAGATGCTGCTGCTGATGATGATGACGATGATGATGATGATGATGATGATGATGATGATGATGATGATGAAGATTATGATGATGATGATGATGATGATGATGATGATGATGATGATGATGATGATGATGATGATGATGATGATGATGATGATGATGATGATGATTGATGATGATGATGTGATGATGATGATGATGAGATGATGGTGTTGATGATGATGATGATGATGATGATGATGATGATGATGATTGATGATGATGATGATGATGATGATGATGAGATGAATGATGGGGTGATGATGAATGAGGAGGAGGAGGAGGAGGAGGAGGAGGAGAAGGAGGATCAGGAGGAGGAGGAGGAGGAGGAGGGATGGAGGAGAGGAGGACGAGTGGGAGGTGGGAGGAGGGAGATGGAAGGAGGAAGGAGGCGGGAGGAAGATAAGGAGGAAAGCAGGAGGGAGGACGAGAGGAGGAGGAGGAGGAGGAAGGAGGAGGAGGAGGAGGAGGAGGAGGAGGAGGAGGAGGAGGAGGCGGAGGCGGAGGAGGAGGAGGAGGAGGAGGAGGAGGAGGAGGAGGAGGAGGAAGAAGAAGAATAATACTAATAATAATAAGAATAATAATAATAATAAGAAGAAGAAGAATAAGAAGAATAATAAGAATAATAAGAATAATAATAATAAGAAGAAGACGAAGAATAATAATAATAAGAAGAATCAGAAGAAGAATAAGAAGAATAATACGAATAATAATCATAATAATACTAAGAAGAAGAAGAATAATAATAAGAATAAGAATAATAATAAGAATAAGAAAAAGAAGAATAAGAAGAATAATAATAATAATAAGAAGCATATCAATAAGACGAATAATAAGAATAATAATAATACTAAGAACAATAAGACTACTAAGAAGACGAATAATAATAAGCATAAGAAGAATACTAATAATAAGAAGAATAGGAAGAATAATAATGAGAGTAATAATAATAAGAAGAATAATAAGAATAATAAGAATAATAAGAAGAATAATAATAAGACTAAGAAGAATAATAAGACGAACATTAATAATGATAATAATAAGAATAAGAATAATAATAAGAAGCATAAGAAGAATACTAACAATAAGAAGAAGAATGATAATAATAATAATAAGAAGAATAATAATAATAAGAAGAAGAAGAATAAGAAAAAGAAGAATAATAATAAGAAGAAGAATAATAAGAATACTAATAAGAAAAATAAGAAGAAAAAGAGGAGGAGGATGAGGAGGAGGAGGAGGAGGAGGAGGAGGAAGGAAGGAAGGGAGCGGAAGGAGGAGGCGGAGGAGGAGGAGGAGGAGAGGAGGAGGAGGAGGAGGAGGAGGAGGAGGACGAGGAGGAGGAGGAGTGGGAGGAGGAGGAGGAGGAGGAGGAGGAGGAGGAGGAGGAGGAGGAGGAGGAGGAGGAGGAGGAGGAGGAGGAGCAGGAGCACCAGGGTAGGCCCACGATGCGTTATCGACGCTAGATGCTGCAATGCCCGTCCCAAGTCCCCTCACCATACATCCCTGCAAACCTTTCTCTCCACTCCGGGGAATCCCCCCCCCCCCCCCCCCCCCCGAAAGACGGAAGCCGCAAGGGGCCGTCGAGTCGAGCGAGTGCCCTGTTTCGAGAAGGACCCGCCTTCATCTTGCCAGCTTGTGGATATGCCGCGAGGTAGGATCAGAAAGGCAATGGAGCTGCCCAGCGATAGCTTTGTTTTCAAGAGGGGGCCGCCCTCCATCCGCGCAGCTCTTGCACACGCGTGCGTTTCTTGAGAAACAGATGGTGCTCTCAGTCCAGAGCCCCAATCAGAAAAGGAGCCTCCCTCCATCCGTGCAGCTGTTGGGCAGTTGACAGTTCTCGTCGTACAACTCGAAGAAGTCTCGACCGAGAGCCCAATATTGAGAATGAGCTGTGTCCTCCATCCTTGTAGCCATTGGAAGCTATGCAGACGTTTTTGTGGTGCCATGGCAAAAGCATCGTCAATTAAACGATTCGACCTCCATCCGTGTAGCCGCTGGAAACATGTAAGAATACTTTGCACGTTGCCATGGGGAGAGCCACATTGTGAAGACGATTCGCGCTCCGTCCTTCTAGATGTTGGGATCTTGAAAGACGACTGTGCTTGGACGCGTTTGGTCTTCTTCGGGCATCTGGAGGCCTCCATAAGCCTCCAGATGCCTCTGGAGACAGCTGGAGTCTTCTGGGGGCTTCTGGAGATTTCCGGAGACCTCTGGATGCCTCCAGAGCGGAAGGAGGAGGAGAAGGAGGTGGAGGAAGGCCGGATTTGGGCCTGCTGGGGGGAGGGAGGAGAGAGGAGAGGCCGAAGAGTGAGGAAGTGCTCCTAAGGACGTGCCCCGCCGAGTACGTCCCAGATGCGGATGCGGCTGATCTCCTCTGCGCTGGTGCCGAGGGACTCAAAGCGTGCACTCGGCCCTCCCCCCGATGCTCCGCCGCCTGGCCACCTCCCTCCCGCCGTCCGACTAGCCAGGATGCCATGTGGGGCGTTCCAGGATCGAAGGAGTTGCCACCTCTTCCTCGGCGGCAGGCGGCGGAAGGCTGGCGGAAGTCAAACGGGGGGCGGCTCCGTTGGCGGAAGCGCGGCGGAAGCCGGCGGAAGTAAAAGATGCGTCCTTGAGAGATGGCAGCATTTCCCAACCAACCTGTGTTGTTGGGTCCTCGTTTTGAAGAGACGGTCCCCGCGTTCCTCCTCCTCCTCCTCCTCCTCCTCCTCCTCCTCCTCCTCTCCTCTCCTCCTCCCCCTCCTCCCTCCTCCTCGCTCCTCCTCCTCCTGCTCCTCCTCCTCCTGCTCCTCCTCCTCCTCCTCCTCCTCCTCCTCCTTTTTTTGGTTCCGGGCTTCTGGACTCGGCCATGAGGGGTGTTCCAGAGACGGCCTCGCCTTCGGCGCGCCGCGCCTGCGGCGGAGGCGGGCGGAAGGCCGGCGGAGGGCGGTGGAAGTAACACGGCGGCGGGTGCCCCCCGGCGGAGGGTCAGCAGAGGGCGGCGGAAGCAAGAGTGAGGCGTCAAGGGTTTTGGGATTCGGGATTTCCAGGGCGGGCCGTGTGCGACACGAGGAGGGTCGGCCACGCGCAGAGGGGGGTGGGGGGAGGGGGTAGGGATTCTTAGAAGCACCCCTGCTTCTTAGAAGGCGCGGCCCTTATCTATAGATGTAAGGCCGGCGCCTTCTAAGAAGCAGCCTCCTTCGAAGAAGCCCTCCCCCCTCCCCCCACCCCCTTGTGCGCGCCGCCAAGAGGGAGGTTTGGATGGAGAGGGTGGGAAGAGAAGAGAGGCATGGCCGTGGGGGACCCTGGGCTGGCCGCCGGCGCCCTGCAGTGGCGGTGCAGGTCGAAGTGGACGGCGGCTTAGCGTCGCGGAGGGTAGCTTCCGAGAGTCCGTTGGTTGCTGTGTGAATCGTTTACGATTCCTACGTGGTCGAATACGATTCCTGTATGAGTCGTGCACCATCTCGATGCGAGTCGTACACTAATTTAATGTGTGTCGTACGCGGTACCTGAGTGACGCGCATACGATTCCAATGTGAGCATGCGATTCTTAGTGACTCGTTTACGACCCCTCCAAGAACAGTAAGGCATCCTAGAGGAATCCGAAGGGGGTTTGAGGAACCCGACGTAATCCTAAAGAACCCCCAGTATTCTGGAGGAACTCTTAATGATGCTCTGGCGTCAGGAGGAATGGACCAACATCGATACCATATGAAATCTTCAGGAACCCCGTGGACTCGTGAAGGAATTCTAGACGCTTCGCGTATCCCCACCAGCCCGTCCAGAAACGACGCCCAGGCGAGTAGAGGGTCGTCCTGAGGGGCTTTTCGGCGTCCTGGGTGCCTCGGGGGGGCCTCTGTGGGCCGTTCGGGATCCTCTTTGGGGCCTCCTGGGGGCCTCTTGGGGCCTCTTGGGGCCATCTTGGGGCCTCTTGGGGGTCTCTTGGGGGCCTCCTGGGGGCCTCTTGGGGGGCCTCTTGGGGCCATCTTGGGGTCATCCTGCGGCCTCTTGGGGCATCCTGGGGGCCTCTTGCGGCCATCGTGGAGGAAATCGATCAAAGAAGAGGGGAGCCTTAATTAGCGTTGCCCCCTGAGAAGGCCAAAATGGGGCCAAAACCATAGTAAAATCAATGTTTTTGGCTTCCTCGCCGAGGCCGTTTTGGACGCTCTGACCGCTCCCCGCCCCTCCTGTCCAGGTCAGTGGGGAGGGGGTAGGGGGAGGGGTAAACCCCTCCCCGAAGGGGAAGAAGGAGGGGTGGAAGAGGAAACTCGTTAAACCACCGACGCCCTAAAGGGCTGGTGGGATTTCAATGAACCTTGAAGGAATCCTAGCGAGTGCTAAGGAACCCGACCGAAGAAACTCTCAGGAGCTCTAAAAGGGGTTCCCTCGCCGCTTCGCGCGGTTTCCTGTGGCTGGAAAACCACGCCCCGCTCGGAAGGCTTGCCGTCCAAGGGGTGCGGGTTTTCCGCGCTGTCGGCCCTCTGGAGGCTTGTTTCGGGCCCCAGGGCGCCAAAAGCAAAGAAAAGACAGAGGATGAGGATGAGGAGGTGGAGGAGGAGGAGGAGGAGGAGGAGGAGAGGAGGAGGAGGAGGAGGAGGAGGAGGAGGGGAGGAGGAGGAGGAGGGAGGAGGAGGAGGAGGAGGAGGAGGAGGAGGAGGAGGAGGAGGAGGAGGAGGAGGAGGAGGAGGAGGAGGAGGAGGAGGAGGAGGAGGAGGAGGAGGAGGAGGAGGAGGAGGAGGAGGAGGAGGAGGAGGAGGAGGAGGAGGAGGAGGAGGAGGAGGAGGATGAGGAGGAGGAGGAGGAGGAGGAGGAGGAGGAGGAGGAGGAGGAGGAGGAGGAGGAGGATTGGCGGCGACAAGGTGCGTGATTTCCAGGACAACCTCGAAACCCCGCGCTGCGCGCCTGTCCCAGCAACATCTTGGCGACACAAGTCGGCGAAACTTAGCATCTGGGAAAGGAGGCCTCACGGGCACCTCCCAGAGGCCTCTCAGAACCCCCTCAGAGGCGCCTCCCAAGAGGCCTCTCAGAAGCCGTCCGGTGCACTTCACAAGAGGCCTCTCAGACGCTCCTCAGGGCCCCCCCCCCCCAAAAAACCTTCCAGAAGCCCGTCAGGTGCAATTCCCAAGATGCCTTTGAGAAGCCCCTCAGCGGCACCTCCCAAGAGGCCTCTCAGACGGTCCTCAGTGTGCGCCTCCCGACAGGCTTCTCCGAGGCCTCTCGGGGGCACCTTCCAAGAGGCTTTTTCAGAAGCCCCTCAGGGGCACCTCCCAAGAGGCCTTGCAAAAATCACTCAGGGGCACCTCCCAAGAGGCTTCTCAGAAACCCCTCAGGGGCACCTCCCGAGAATCGTCTCATAAGCCCCTCAGAGGAGCCTCCCAGAGGCTTTTCGAAAATCCATCACAGGCATCTCCCAGGAGCCTCTCAGAAGCCCCGCAGGGGCACCTCCCAGAGAGGCCTCTCAGAAGCTCCTCAGGCGCACCTCCCAAGAGGCCTTTCAGAAGCCCCTCAGGTGCACCTCCCAGGAGCCTCTCAGAAGCCCTTCAGGGGCACTTCCCAAGAGGCCTTCCAGACGCTCCTCACGGGGCACTTCCCAAGAGCCTTTCAGAAGCCCGTCAGCGGCACCTCCTAAGAGGCCTCGCAAAACCCCCTCAGAAGATTCTCCCTTAAGATGTCTTCAGTACTGCTTAAGACGTCTTCTGAACACCTCTTCTTGAGACAACTTGATACAAGTAGTTCTTCAGAAGCAGCACTGAAGAGGATTCTCGGCCGCGATTGGTGCCGATTCGGCCGGGATGGGTCCCGAACGGGCAAGCGGGCCGGGCTTGGGATGAGTGGGCCGGGCTTGGTCCCAACATCGGGCGCCGCCCCCGCCGACCGTCCCGAAGCGGCACCCGTTGCGGGCAGCCTCCCGCGCGCCGAAGCCGCCGCGCCCCCCCGCGGCGCGGCGCGCCGGCGCGGTGAGGCCGACCCCCGCCGGAGGGGTCCAGGCCCGCACGCGCTGTGCACGCGGCGCGGTGGCTCGCATGCCGTCGTGGCCTGCTGTGCTCACCCCTCCTCTCCTCCCTCTCGGTCCCCTCCCCCTTGTCCCCGCATGCTCCCCCCAAACCTCATCCCCCCTTCTTCCCCCCCCCCCCCCCCCCCCCTGTCCCCCTTTCCCCCACTCTCTTCCTCGTCCTGCCTCCCTCCCTACCCCCCCTTCCGCGTCACCGCCCGCTCTGTTCTTCCATTCCTGAGTGCACGTATTTCCGCGCATGCCCCCCTCCTCCCATCCCGCCCGTCATTCCTCAATATCCCCCCCCTTGCCCCATCCTTCCCTTCTTCCCAATATCCCCCCGCCCCTCTTGCCTTGCCTCCCCCCCTTGTCTCTACCCCTCCCTCTCCTATTTCTCTTCCCGCTGCCGCCCCCTTCCCCTTCATCTCCATGGGGGAAGGAGGGCGAGAGAAGGGCGGGTTCTGGGGGTGCCTCAGATGCGAATTGCACCGTGCAGAGCGACGTTCACCTCTGCTGCAAGAAGCGCGCCACCTGCGGCTTAGACATGAAGTGCCCCGACAAGTACGAACCGAAGGCCAACGCCGGCGGCACTCTCTGCGAAAAGAGCTTCTGCAGCGTCGAGGAGGACCTCCTCATCTGCTGTCAGGAGGCCTATCAGCCCGCGAAGGCGTCGTGCGCAACCTACACCTGCCCCAGCTACATGTACCAGAGAAGCGGGGCGGACAAGCTGGAGTGCGCGGGGACGCCGTGCACCAGCCACGACGACGATACCTGTTGCGAGAAGGCGGGCAAGTGCACAGACTTCACATGCCCCAGCGACTACGTCCTCAAGGCCGGATCCTCGTCCCGCTTCTGCAGGTCCAGCGTCTGCGGCCAGGAGGACGTCGACCAGTGCTGCCACGCGAAGGCCCTCATGGAGCGTGGGCCCCCTCGCTCTCTCCGCCTTTGCTCCCCTTCCCCTTCGCCTTCCCCTTCCCCATTCCCCTTCCCCTCGGCCCTTCTCCCTCCCTTCCTTCTCCCCTTCCCCCTTCTCCTCCCCTTCCGCCCCTCCGAGACTCCTTGCCCTCCCCCTTTCTCCCTCTCCCTCCCCCTTCCCCTCCCCCATTTCCCTCCCCCTTCGCCCACCCCCTTCCTCCTCATCCCTTCCTTCTCCCCCGTGCCCTTCCACAATGACCCAATTTGACTGCTACTCTCCTTTCTTCGCCGAAGGTGGCTGGGGAGTCGCCCGCCCCACTCCGCGCATTTCTTGCGCAGGATTCCAAGCAGTCTTCTTTTGTGCTCCCGATGTTTTTCTCAACCGTCCTGTGGCGTTGGGTCCTCGTTTTGAAGAGACAACCCCCGCGTCGCTCCTTCCTCCTCCCCCTCCCTCCTCCTGTCATCATCAGCATCTTCGCCCTCGTTTCCGCACACCCCTCACGCGTTTCGTGGCCCCTTAGGGAGCTCCGCCTAAGGCCACAGTGGCGCAGCCCGCATGTGGGCGACAACCCCGGCTCGGCACACCCCTCGCACGTTTGGTGGCCCCAGAGGGAGCTCCAGCCAAGGCCCCAGTCGTGCAGCCCGCATGTGGGCGACAGCTCCGTTTCGGCACAGCCCTCACACATGTCGTGGCCCCACAGGGAGCTCCACCCAAGGCCCCAATGGCGCAGCCCGCATGTGGGCCACACTCCAACTTCGGCACACCCCTCGCACGTTTCGTGGCCCTAGAGGGAGCTCCAGCCAAGGCCCCAGTCGCGCAGCCCGCATGTGGGCGACAGCTCCGTTTCGGCACAGCCCTCACACATTTCGTGGCCTCACGGGGAGCTCCACCCAAGGCCCCAGTGCCACCGCCCGCATGCGCCCCCCCCACACCCATTTCGGCACACCCCTCACACGCTTCGTGGCCCCACGGGGAGCTCCACCGAAGGCCCCAGTGCCACCGCCCGCATGCCCCCCCGCTCATTTCGTCACACCCCTCGCACGTTTCGTGGCCCCAATAGCCAGCTCCACCGAAGACGGTATTTACAATTGCAGTTCTCACAACTGCATATGATTGGATCCTTCGCCAGGCGAATTTTGTCAATTGATCGTTCGGTCCTTCAACATGTTGCTGCCGCTGCAGCGGGGGCTTCATTTTAGGATCGGCGCTTTGCTCCCGTCGTTCAGAATGGCACTCTCGCCCCAGCGTTGGCCACTTTTCTAGAGGTAAGTCCTTTTTCATCGCTGCCGACCCCCTCCTCTCCCCTCCTCCACCTTCCTCTGGTCCTCCTGCTTCGCCCGCTCCTTGCGCTCCAGTCCCTGCTGCTGCTGCTGCTGCTGCTGCTGCTCGGCCTCGTCCTCCTCCCTCCTCCTCCTCCCTTTCCTCTTGCTCATGCTCCTGCTCATCCGCCTCTCCCCTTCCAAGGTACTCAGCTCCCCTTTCCGATTGCACATAAGTCGATAGGGGCCCTTCTTGAAATTCCAGAGCCGCTATGACACGCGTCGGCGGGCAGAGCAAACGCAGCGCCATGGGAAGGGACGGGTGGGAGGGGCAGGATGTCAGATATGGCGCGCGCTCACCTGGCTTGCTTCGGCCTCTCTCCCCTCTCCCTCCCTCTCCCCGCTCGCACCCCCTCCCCCTGCCTCTGAAGCATTGGAGTGTCAGGCATGCAACTGCAATCACTCTGGTTCGGCATGTTTTTGTCCAGGATGCACGTGATGTGCATGCTGCACGTGCAGGCGCACGGCTGTATTCTCTCGAACTTTCTTTCGTCCGTTCCTCACCAGCCTGGAACATATCCCTATCCCTGTGATTGGCATCGCCTCATCTCGATGCCGATCTTAGGGATTCCCTCCGTTTCTGAGGGCGCATCCCTAAGATTGTCGTCGACTTTTGGCTTGTTAATCTCAGGGATAGGGATACGTTCGAGGCTGGTTAGTTCCGCGTGATCGGGCACGGGCCCTGCTCATAGTCATATTCGGTCCCTTGGGACTCGTCGGCGGGCGCGGGCCCAGAGCACAGGCAGGGCCTGGGCCCGAAGGAAAGCGACGAATCGCGCCACCCGCCCACAACCTTGCCTCGAGTCGTTGAACGGGCTTTCCTGCAGGGTTTTGCTTCGAGGCAAATGAAGAAGGTTCGCAAGGCGCGCCTGCGCCTCCGCGGAGCTACGGCGATCCGCTTGCCCTGGTCTGATTATACGACCCATCGCGCGACGTGCGTGGGAACGCCGGCAGGCGGAGGAATGATAGTGGGTGTTTTCCCTTCCTCCTTCCCCTCCCCATCCTCCTACTCCGAAATTTTGAATCCCCTCCTCCTCCTCCGCCTCTTCCTTCTCCTCCTCCGCCTTTTCCTCCTCCTCCTCCTCCTCCTCCTCCTGACGCTCTACGTTCGAACATTCGAGCGCCGATGGCGGCGACGACGACGATGGCGACGCCGACGACGACGGCAGCCTCGGGGATGCGTGCGCCGCGCCTCCGCGAGGTGACGACGTCCCCGAAGCCGCGGGTGCCCTGCAACACCATGACCTGCCCGTCGGGCACCGTGAAGGCGCTGGACGCTGGCGGCGACCTCGAGCTTCGGCCGCACGCGGGCGTGGGCCCCTCGTCGGGGTGACCTTTTCGGGCGCGCGGCGCGCGGGGGGCCGAACACAGGCACGCGGGGGCGCTGCCGTCGCATCCCGTGCAACGGTCGGCGAGCCGCGCGCCAAAGGTCACTCGGGCTCAGGCTCACTCCTTGCGCGTAGCCGAGGATCTCGCTCCTCCCGCTGAGGAGATGTCCTTCTGTTCTTGTGGCGCGTCAGATGGCGTCGCGGAGCTTCCTTCTGGCTTTCACCGTGGAGGAGGGGGGGAGGTCTTTGGGGAACGGGTTTCCTGGAAAAGGGTCTCGAGATTTTTCGCTGTCTTCTGCCTCCCGTGGCGCTTCCATGGCCGCGGGGCCGTCAAGAAAGAATCGGATGAAGAATTGAGACTTGGTCCCGAAAAAGCCTCGGTGTTCACGACTTGATTTTTTCATGGGGGATCGCGGGTCGGTGTAGGGGCTTGTTAGCTTCTCACCTTTCCTTTTCTTGAGGCCTCGCGTAATTAGTCAGCTCGATCAATGTCGCAAAGAGATATGGTCGATAGTTCTTGTCGTGATTTTTTTCAGCTGTTGTAGTTCTGTGCATGTGACCTTCGATCTTGATCTCCTTCTCCGCCCTCCTCTCTTTTCTCTCTTCTATCGTCCTTCGTCGATTGATGAGGTTACGTGTTGAGAAGGAGTCTTCTCGTCCTCTTCCCCATCATGCTAAGTCGCATAACTGCTCCATATAAGTTCCTCCCCCTCCGAAGAGGATGAGCGACGATGGCGGAGGAACATGATGCTTATAAAGGATGCGGCTCAGGAGGGAATCTGATTACATGCTCGTTGTCAACCTGTTGGCGTCGGCACGACACACTCATCTCTCGCATCTTTCTGCATCGCACCAATGGATTCTACATCGTGAGTTAAAAAGCGAACTAGCGCTAATAGCGAACGTAATTGCAAAACTGCATGTTTCAGGGCACTGGTTTAAGACCCCCCCCCCACCTGGAAGAGACACATGTGTAAGCATAAACTTTCGGAGCTCCGCGCGGATTTCTTGGATCGGCGCTGGACCCCCTCCCTGGCGCGCGGAGGGCGCCAGGGGCGGCACTGGATGCGCTGCTAGGGGTGTCAGCGCCGGCTATGTTTATGCAGGTTTTTCCTGTCCTCCTCCTTTTTGCCCCTTCCCTGCTCCCTCCTGCAGGGCCCCCGGTGGCATTCGGGTCGGCCCGGCACGGCGGGCCAGCCGACGGACCCTCGGGCGTCGGGCTGGCCGCCCACGGGCTGAAAGGTGCCAGACGCCGACAACGAGCTCTGCGAGAGCGACCCGTGCACTTCGGTGGACGCCAAGGCTCGGGACGACAATCGTGACGACAATCGTGACGACAACGACGACGACGCCGACGATGGCGAACGGCAACGCTCGAGCCACGAAAGAACCACGGCGGAAGGTTTTCCACTGTTCTCGGCTTCTGGGGGCCCTCAAGGGGTCTCGGGACCGTCAAAAATCAAGACGGGATGGAAAACTGGTCGCGGGGAATAGGTCGAGACTTTGGAAGTCGACGTCGTGGAAAAATCATGACGTCGGGGGTTCTGGGGAGGAGGGGGAGGAGGGAAGGATGACCAATGGGGGGCAGGGAGCGGAGGGACGACGACGATTGCGTAGAGCTCATCGGGACCTCCAGTTAGGAGAGAGAGAGAGAGAGGCACCCACATTCCTATTATTTTTGCTGTCGAAGGCGGGGGGCCCGAGACATGTCCCCCCCCAAAACACTGCGGTCAGGAACTCTTGCTTAGCGTATCGCTCCGCCAGTCCTGGCCCACC